CTGACCCCACATCACACATACATAACTACATAATTAAGTCAGTCACTCATCTCATACCTTCTGAGATACACACATGAGATACAAAAAATTCATCACATGTGAGAGACACAGCCAGCATGCTGGCTACACACACCTGCAGACTGACATGGATGCACAGCTACCCAGAGTGCAGGAGGCAGAGGAATCAATAGGATGTGCATGATAGGCACCCGGCTGTGTCAGCAGTATCCTGGGGAGGAGGTATGTGTGTGTGGGGCTGGGGTGGGGGGGGCCTCTGCCTGTGGCCCATGGAGCAAGGCCAAACCAGGCCCCCTTCTGTGTAAAACTCAGGATGGTCAAGGAAGGGGCACTTAGGACCCTCGTGCCTTGAATACACACAGCCTCCCCACCCCAGTTCCCACCCTGCCACAGGAGTATGGTAGGGGAGGAGGCAGCAGTGGGCTGTGCACTGCCTGAGTGGGCTAGACCAGGACAACCCTCACTCCTACAGCCTACCTGACACAGACACATAGAGTGGAGACCCAGGATCCCACCCAACCCTTCCAGCCAAAGGCAATGTGAGAGCCTCTCCAAACTGGCCCAAGCAGTGGGATCCCCTCCGTAAAGAACATCTCAACTCTAAACCACCAAGAAAGCAAGGAACATTTCCAGCCTTCATCTGGGATCCTAGGAATGACACAGACATAACTATGACCTGAAAACACACACACACACACACACACACCTTGCATAGCCCCTCACACAAGATAACTAGGGCTTATCTTGAGTCATCTTTCCATGTTGAGGGGGGTTATGAGATAGAGGTGCTCATACCAGTACCATGTTGCTCAGAAGAACCCCCAAACCTAGGGGACGGAAGAGGATTTGAACACCAAGGCTGCCAGGCCTGAGCCCACCTAAATGTCCTAATCTTAGGCCCTTAGGACATATTTAGGGTCTGGATATGTCCCATGCAGTGAGCACCCAGGCCCTAGGGCAATGTGGCCTACACACTGGCTTCCCAAGTGCAGAATGGGGCCATGGACTTCACAGGCCTACCTCTGAGATCCCCTGCTAGTCCCCCCGCACTGAATGGAGGCCCTGTCTGCCTTCCCGCTGGGCCCCTGCTCCAGGCCACTGGCCCATCACACGTGAGTGCTTTTGAGTAAGCAAGTGGGGCCACCAGGGAGAGGTTGATCAGGGTTTTCTATTTCTAGCCAAAAGGGCATTTCTGTCCTCCCAGGAGGACAGAAAAAGAAGAACAAGAAGCAGAGCTACATTTGAGGGCATGTGCTAGGTCCCCACGCTTCTGTTCCTATATCCGGGAGAATTCTGTTGCCCTCATCCACGGTACCAGAAGAGGTCCTTCAGGACTGACTCCCAAGGGAAAAGAGGCCCAGGAAAAGGCCCCTCCCCCCTGTGTCCCAGAGAGGATGGAGAATGAAATGGGTTCTTCCATTCAGGTTCTCCAAAGCTCT